GGCCAAATGCTCCAACAAGGTCTTCTCTGAGTTGTGCTCTACCTGTAGGTAAGCAAGCTGTCATCCATCAGCCCCAAATCGTTCCCCCTGTGTTCTGCTTCATGACTTGGGGGCCAGAATTCTTGCCTTGGAAGAGTCTGCCAATACAGGGCACCAGGGGGAGCCCATGAAGCTGGAGTAGAGGTAGGACTCACGCCTTCTTGTCTGCTGCCTCCTCCCGGACATCACCTGCCCATGCAGCTCCACACAGCAGTGGCCGTTCCTTCCCACAGCAGGAGAGAAACTTGGTCTGCAGCTGTCCCCGCAGCTCCCACGCCAGCCTCACTGTGCCCCCTTCAGAGACATTGGCATGGTCTGGCCACTCCTCTAAGTTCCCTAATTTAAAAAATTCCAACCTCCTAAACAGGACACCATCCCTCACACCTGTAATCTTAGCACTCTGGGAGGCTGAGATGGAAGGATTGCTTGAGACCAGAAGTCCAAAACCAGCATGAGCAAAGTAAGACCCCATCTCTACCAAAAACTGAAATAATTAGCCAGACATGGCGTCACATACCTATAGTCCCAACTACTCAGGAGACTGAGGCAAGAGGATTACATGAGCCCAGGAGTTTGAGGTTGTGGTGGGCTAAGATAACACTATCGCACTCTAACCTGGGCAACAGAGTGAGACCATGTCTCAAAAAATTAAAATAAAGTGAAATAAAATAAAAATCCCAACCTCCAGCCTCTGCTCCTCAGAACACAGCAGTCGCTCTCTCCATGACACCCAGCACTCTCTTATCTCTCTGTTTTTGCTGTTGCTTATCAACAATTTTACACTGAGTTTACAAGTTTTTACATTAAATACTCTCTTTTGAAGCAACAGGTGTGATTTCTGCTTCCTGAGTGACAGAGTATTTGGCCCTCTAGACACTATTATTGTTCTTATTCTTAGGCATAAGCAAGTGGCTTCTCTATGTGCCATGGATGAACTGTCCGGTGTCTTGTGAGCTCTCTGTGGCTGCAGTCCCCGACCCCCAGGCTCCACAGCATCACCACCTGAGCTCTGACTCTTGTCTCATCCCATCCCTCTCCCACACAGCCAAGGAAAGACTGTCCTCCTTGAAACCAGTCCCTTATGTCAAAAAGTTCCCAGCCCATAGCCAGAACTGCACAGCACAGCAGGAGGCAAGCAGCAGGCATCACCTGGCCACCTGAGCTCACCTCCTGTCCCATGCTGTCCACTGTGCCTATGGAAAAGTTGTCTTTCATGATACCAAAAAAGTGCCCCAAAAGTTGGGAACCACTGCTCAATAGTATTTCTGCCAAATCCCAACCTTCTCCTGGGAGCAATGCCCTCCCCCCATCATACCCTACATACTGAAGGGTGGGCCCACCATGGCCTTAGGGGACCCCACCTCTCCTTTGCCCCAATTGACTTACCCAACATATGAAAACATGGTCAGTCCATACCCTTCCCAAGACATTTGAAACTGAAATTGGGCAAGAAAGTCAGCTACTCTTCGGTGATAGAAATTACAATGGTTTGTGGGATGGTCTGTGGCCATACTTCCTTTCCCAGGACATTGGATAGCCTTTGACTGAAATGTGTCCAAACCACAGGAAAGTTCCTTGTGATTTGGGAGCCCTGGTTTCTCCTCCACTTTCTCACAGTTTCATTGTCTAACCCTTCCTTGGATTCTAGGAACCTAAACGACCACTCCTATCGTTCTGAACAAGCCTACAAGGGCCTTCTGTCTAGTACTAACACTGTTTTGTTGGCCTCATTTTATAAATATAGAAAGTGAGACTGAAAAATTATGAGACAGACCTCATAAGAATTCAAGTCTATCTTTGCACTCTTAGGCAAAACATATATTAAAATTAGAACAGAACAGAGATTAGCATGGCTGTCTGCATAAGGATGACCTATATCATGAAGCATTCCTTATTTTTCAGAATAGCCATTATTAAAAAATCAAAAAGCAATAGATGCTGGTGTGGATGCAGAGAGAAAAGAACACTCATACGCTATTGGTAGGACTGCAAACTATTACAGCCTCTACGGAAAACAATACAGAGTTTCCTCAAAAAGATAAATGTAGACCTACCATCCAATCCAGCAATTTCACTACTGGGTATCTACCGAAAGGAAAAAAATTCATTATATCAAAAAGACATCTGGGCCAAGCGTGGTGGCTCACACCTATAATCCTAGCACTCCGGGAGCCCAAGGCAGGAGGATTGCTTGAGATCTGAAGTTTGAGACAAGTCTGAGAAATAGCATGGTCTCATCACTACAAAAATAGAAAAATTAGCCAGGCATTAAAATCTAATTTTAATAGAAAAATTAGTCCCAGATGCTCAAGAGGTTAAGGCAGGAGGATCACTTGAACCCAGGAGTATGAGATTGCTGTGAGCCATGATGATGCCACTGCACTCTAGCTAGGACAACAAAGGAAGACTCTGTCTCTAAAGGTTTAAAAAAAAAAAAAGACATCTGCACTTGAATGTTCATCTCAGCACAATTTACGACTGCAAAGATGTGGAGTCAGCCCAGGTGCCCATCACTTCATGAGTGGATTAAAAAAATGTACACACACACCATGGAATACTACTCAGTATTAAAAGGAATGAAATAATGTCTTTTGTGGCAGCTTGGGGGGAACTGGAGACCATTATTGTAAGTGAAGTATTTAAGTATCTCAGGAACGGACAAAGAACACTGCAGATTGTCAAGTGGGAGCTAAACATGGGTGCACACAGGCACAAAGCGACGTGAGAAACCAAGAAGGGGGGAGGGGGAGAGAATGGGGGATAAAACCTTACCTGTTGGTTTCCCAGAATGCTCTGACAGTGCCCAGGAACCACAGCTGCCCAGGTAAGGCACAGGTCTCCCACCTGCTGCAGGTACATGAGTTGAAGAGGTGGGTCAGTCTGTAAAACAAAAGATATTTTAAGGAGGGCTTTTCTTTGGGAAATGCTTTGTTGATCCACCACCCACACGTTAGAGTCACAAAACCCAGAAGGGGCTGCGAATGACATTTACAAGGCAGTGCAGGCGGCTGGCCATCACAAGGTTCACTACCTGGCAAGGGAGATATGGCTATCGCAGGGTTTGCACCAGTGAGTCGGAGTTCTTTGTTCTGAATCCGTGACCTGTTTCAGTATGGTTTCCTTGGCAGTGAAAGGAATGGCTAATTGAATGCCCCCATCAATAGCTTTATGAATGAAAGGATATGTATTTTAAGAGAGCTTTGTGCTAGCACCCAGTTACACTGATAAACTGTTTTCAGAGTCTGGCAGGGTTTAGTTTTAAGTAAGTGGTGACATTTAAACAACAAGAAACCTTAAGGCCATGATTAAACAGCCACACTGCCAAGCAGTGTGGTCCATTGACAAGTTCAC